ACCTGTGTCTTCGCTGCCTCCCTCAGCGTGCCAGCATGCTGCTGGGCCCGGGGATGCACGGCTGCGGAGGACCCCTGCTCCCTCGGCCAAAAAAAAAGCAAGGGTTCAGGTAGCTTGTGCCCAGGGTCCTGTGCCAGCAGTGTCATCGGTGTGTAGGGATGACCATGAACCGCGTCGCCTCCGTCCTGCTCCCAAGCGGTCAAGCGCTCCGCGGTCAAGTGCCACCCGCACGCTGCCCGCATGGCCCAGGTGTGGGTGAGCGGGCTCTGTGCGGGCGGCCATCGTGCAGCACCATGCCATGCAGTCAGCAGGACAGCTTCGTCCTCCATTTCAGCCAGGGGGGCTGGCTCCACTCCAGAGCAGCTGCCGAGCTGTGCTCAGCGAGGCCCCGGCTCCGTCCTCCCTCCATGTCTGGCAGCAGCTGCCTGCAGCTGCGCTTGGCCACGGGTAGGGAGCCTGACATCCCCGATGCCATCCAAGGATGCCTTTTGGAGACTGCGCTTTGCTCTGCCCCAGCCTGGGAAAGCTGAGCATCCGGCTGAAATTGAGGGCCTGTTGCAGAGCTCCCTGTATCCTGGAGCTGCGGGCTGGTGCTGCTTTTCCTTACTTTCAGTTTGTGGTGCTGGAGCAGGGCGGGCACAGGCAAACAGCTGTAGGTAGACCTCTTGGGGTGCGTGAGGCTGAAGGAAACTGAAGGATGTTGGGCCAATTTCTTCCCTCCCACCCCACAGGATAGACAAGGCTAAAAATAATCCTTTGCCTCATGCTATGCATGAAAATTAAGGAGACTAAAAAGAGGGTGGTCCTCATTCATAGCAGTTAAGGACCTGCTTGACTTAAAAGCATAGATATGGTCTTGTGTGCCTTGAGGGGGAGAGTATAACCAGTGCCACTGGCTGGGAAATCCCATGGAAAATAAGGCAGGTACCCTTCACAGTGGCAGAGACTAACCAGCGTGATGAGCTACAGGAAGAGGCAGAAGCACGCCAAGTGCTTGAAGGCTGTCCAGCCTGCTGCACCGCATCCCCATGGGTGGCCTAGGAACTGGGTTTCAGCCAGCATATGCCACCAGGATGGCCTGGCCAGGAGTCTCGGGAGCACTTTGGCTAGGAGCCTGCAGGTTTGGAACAATCCAGGCACATAGGATAGGAGAAGAGTCTGTGACCCCCCCCCGCCCCTTCTTTCAACCATCCACAGTTGTTGGGGAGAAGGGTGAAGGCAGAAGGGAACCCAAGGGTGGGGATGAGCAATGCCAGCAACTCTCTGATGGCCCTGCCTGTTCCCCTGTACAGGATGGTTCCCCCACCGCCTGTCAGCAAGCCCCACGTGTGCCTCTCTACTGTGCTTATCATGACCAGCCTTGTCCTCATGGATGCCTACCTGGTGGAGCAGAGCCAGGGCTCCAGGAAGCTGGGCATCTGTGTTATGGTGGCAGTGGGTGATGTGTGCTTCCTGCTGGTGCTCCGCTACGTGGCCATCTGGGTCGGGGCAGAGGTAAAGACAGCAAAGCGGGGCTACGCCATGATACTCTGGTTCCTGTATGTCTTTGTTCTGGAGATCAAAGTCTACTTTGTATACCAGAACTATAAAGCTGATCGGAAAAGCCTGGATCTTATAGCCCGCAAAGCGCTGACCTTGCTGCTCTCCATCTGCATCCCAGCCCTCTATGTGTTGTTGGTGGCCACGGAACACATGGAGTATGTCAGGACATTCAAGAAGAAAGAAGATCTCCGCAACCGCCTCTTCTGGGTCATTGTGGACATGCTGGACGTGCTGGACATCCAGGCCAACCTGTGGGAGCCCCAGAAGAAGGGGCTGCCGCTCTGGGCTGAGGGCATCATGTTCTTCTACTGCTACATCTTGCTCCTGGTCCTCCCTTGCGTGTCCCTCTGTGAGATCAGCATGCAAGGGATTGGCATCATGCCGCACCGGATGATGCTGTATCCCATGCTGAGCATGCTCACTGTCAACATCACCACCATCTTCATCCGAGGCAGCAACATGGTCTTCTTCAGGGACGCCCGGGTCTCCAGCATCTTCATGGGCAAGAACATGCTGGCCATTTGGCTGAAGGTCTGTACGTTTGTGCAGTACCAGCGGCACCGGCACCACGTGGCCCTAGGGCCGGACCTGGCCCTGCAGCACAGCACCCAGGCCCAGCCCTCCCCAGGGCTGCACAAGTCCCGGGACCAGCCTGCCTGCCCTGAGGAGCTGGCCCAGGACAACACGTGACAAGCCAACAGGAGCCACAGCCTGGCTGTACCTGCCAACCCGAGAGGGGACCACCGAGCTCCCCACCTGGACAGAGGGCAATGACCCTGCTTCCTCCCTCCCTGGGTGAAGCTGCTCCAGTCCCCAAGGGTCGCATGGCAAGGGCCCCCCCGTAGCAGCCTCCGTAAGGCCGCAGAGCAGTTTGGGACCTCAGCACCCCACCGAATGAGACGGGCGGCAGAGTGGAGGAGGCTAGGTTTGCCTGCCACGTGCCATGTCTGGCTGGGGCCGGACTGCCCCCATCAGTGCTCCCCATGCAGCTCAGGCCGAGAGGGGCTGCACGGCAACACTGCTGGTCACCTGCTTTGCTGCTGTGGTCGGCGCTGGCTCCAGCTCGGTGCTTGGCAGCAGCCTGCTCCTTGCTGCATCAGCCACAGTTCCTGTGCTGGGGGAGCAAGGTCTGGTCCTCTCCATGCCTGTCACCCCTCTCAGCCAGCTGCAGGCCTGGGTGGGGCCCAGAGGGGGTGACTGTCCTTTTTTGTATCTCCCTCTTTGTAATAAAAGACCTGAGCCCTGCAGCCTCCTCATGTCCATGTCCCTGCCAGCAGGCAGATTCCTCCTAGCTCCCGTGGATGCCTGTCCCTCGTGTGCCTGGATGTCTAGCTGCAGAGCACCGCTGGGGTGTGTGGGGAGGCTCGCTCAGTGACCATCCAGGCCTGGGTCGAGCATCCCAGGCACCTGGGTCTGAAGCGATTCCTCCTGGCCAGCAGTTGGGAGTGGAAAGGCCAGGTCCTTGTGACGAGTTTACACCAACTGGTGTCAGCCATGCTCAATGGGACACCGATAGCAAGTCCCCACTCCACCTGGAGGGACACCAGAGCAGGTCTGGCAGGGAGACTGCCGGGACAGCACTAGAAAGAGAAGGAAAATAACCCAACTGACTCCTCGAAGCTGGGAGGCCACAGGGAAGAGCAGCTCCCCTGGCAGTAGAAAGCTCTCTGGAGATGTCGGAGGCATCTCCTCCTGTCGGAGCTGGTGTTGCCATGCTGCTGCCTGCTCCAACGCCCAGTGCCACCACAACCCTGGCTGAGCTGGGCAACGCCCCAGGGCTTCCCCGGCTGCAGGGTACTGGGCGCAAGAGCTGTCAGGGAGAGACAGGCCAGTAGACTTGCTCACCACCACTAATGTGCTGAACGGAAGGAGATGACATCCCAGCAAAGATGTCCTCCTTGCAGGCAGGCAGGCTGGCCGGCCTCAGCAGGAGGGAACCGTTTGGCTCCAGAGAGGCAGGAGCAGAAAGCAGGACCACTTTGGGGGTGCACCAGGTTTGCTTCCTGCTGGGCAGGACCTACTGGGAGCTGGGGATGGGGACACATGGATTCAGGAAGGCCCTGCCAGCAGCGACACAGGGGTAAGCCACCTTCAGCCTGTCCAGACCCCACTCTTCCCTTCTTGCATTAAAAGTACAGGTGTGGGTTTGTTCAGCTTTGGATTAAAAATTGAGACCATAAACCAGCAGACCAGTGCCACAAAGAGGTGAGGACAGCCTTGGGCTTTGGTGCTGCCACACCACTCTGGAGGTAACTCTCCTCTGAAGGTACAAGGATGCGGCAGGCTCTTCATCCTACGTTGCGAGGCAAGAAGAGGAGGAAGAAGCAGCCAGGCACAGTGCAAAGCAATAAGCCACATGCAGGTTAAAGGCAGCTGAGGATTTCCATGTCTCTAGCCAAGCTGGCACATCCCATTTCTACCGCCTTCCCTAAAACCTGTCACCAGAGCAGAACTCGCATCACCCACAAGAGCTGCAGCAGAGGCAGATGCTTCAGCAACACCCTCAGGTGGGCGGGATGGAGTTGCTCATCCTTCCACTTCTTGCTCATTGCAAGGCCTTTCCCCGGGCCCCACGCACCAGCTGCCCACAACGCAGGGACAGGCCCAGCGAGCGCTCTGCCCTGCAGAGCTGAGGTGTTCTCCCAGCACATGCTCTGACCTGTGAGACGAGATCAGCTGGGTCACATCCACATCACCTCCTTGTCAGCACAGCCACAGGGAACGAGGGGCAATACGGGAGTGAGGAGAAATAAGAGAGCTGGTGGTAAACAGTAATGTTGGAGAGAGGCATTAAATCCCCTAAGTTCAAACACTTTTGACTGTAACAGCACCGACACTGGGAATAAAGGAAAACTGAGGTATTCTATTTCATACAGGATCAGTTTCCTAGAAGCTCCAATAGCCCTGTAGAGACCACACTTTGAGAAGCCAAGAAGAGAGGCAGCCCAATTGGAGAGATCCCGGGCAGCTGTACCCACGCAGTCAGCAGCATGCCTTAGCCGTGAGGAAGGCCAGCCGCATCAGGGGCTGCGGCCCATGCAGAGGGGTGGGATCCTCTCTCCTTTACTCAGCATTCATGACATGACATCCAGATACCGCATCATCCAGGCTGGGCACCCAGAAAATAGGTGGGGGTCTGTGGGGTTCTCCTTTCATGCGAGGCACGGACGACTCAGCACACCAATATGATGATCAGAGAAGTCATTTATTAATCAGAAGGCTACACTACCAGATGTTTTCTACCTCTATACACTCTCTTGCTCAAGCTCTGATTGGTTACAAGTACTGTTCACATGACTGTCATGCTTTTTAGAAAAGATTCAATAGGTGCTTATGCTGTGTGCAACTTCTACGTAAATCAGACACAAGCTCTTTGTCTTGCCTTGTTACTATGATTTTATTTCTTAATTTTATCTATCTCCAGTTCCCCTAGTATCCATCTGCTGTTCCACAAGTATCCATCTCTTGTTCCACAAGCTTGCTACTTTGTATAACTCTCTGCATTTTTCCCACATCTTTTTACATTCTCAAAATACCCTCCAGCTCATTGCTAACATAAAATGATCCTACAGGGGTCTTCTGGGCTGACTCCAGTTTAGGATGTGAAAGTTGTCAGAGGCTGGAGCACTGCAAGGAAAGGCTGAGGGAACAGGGTTTATTCATCCTCAGAAAGAGAAGGCTTTGGGGAGACCTTTCCCTCCCATCCCCCTGACCTATGACAAGGCTACTGAGAAAACAGAGCCAGGTACTTCACAGAGAACAAGACAATAATTATGGACTAAAACCAGGCAGGTTTCCTGGAGTAACGGGGGAAAAGAGTTTCATCTTGAGAACTTGAAGGAGTGGAGCAGAGGCCAACAGAGGTGGTGGCATCTGTCCTTGGACATTCCCAGACCCAGCTGAGGAAGCCCTGGGCAACCTTGTCTGAAGTAAGTGCTAGCCCTGCTCTGAGCAGGCACTGTACCACAGCCCTCCCAACCTGAGGGCCTTTCCCACCTCAGCTGGTGTCTGGTAAGACCTGGAGTAGAGCCAGCAATGCAGAGTAGGGCTCGTGCTCTCCTAGCTTAGAGGAAGAGATGAGCAGGTGCAAAGCCAGAGACAGCTGTCAACACCATGTGCATCGGCATGACCAACTTGTCACAACCCAGGCATGGTATAAACCAAAAGTGAAGAGGACATTTTAGCTACAAAAAGCACTATTTCCTTCAGTTCAGCCTCTGCTCTGCTGCCGTACAGCACCACTGTACAGTGAAAGGCAGATACTGGGAAGAGGGATGGCCATCTTCCAGGCCTGGCCAGGGCAGAGTGAGTCCCAGTGCCAGACAACAGCATGTCTGTCCAGCAGTCACAAGTTCTTCTGTGAGGGCAGCCGGCGCTTGTCTTTGATGGCATTCCTCTTCCTCTTCTTGTTCAGGAAGCTTTCCAGCTTTCCACTCCTCTTCAGCTCTGCATACTTCTCGGCTAGCTCCAATTTCCGCTTCTCAGCTGGAGAGGAGAAGGGAACAAGGTTTTAAACGGAAGCCCAAATCATCTCTCCCTCCCTGGCTCCAGGCCTGGCTTGTCCCTGGAGTACTAGCACTAGAACAATCCCTCCACAGCTCTGGGGAATATTAAGGACAACTTGCTTCTAGTGCTTGGAGTCCTGTCAGCAGTACTCCCTCTAGGTCTTCCTGCAGCGTGTTCACACTGACTACTTACATTTCTTTAAGAAGAAGGGTTTCTTTCCCTGCTTGGCCAATTCCCTCTGTTTTCTCTTCAAAGACAGCTCCCTCTCCCTCAATTTCTGCTGTTTTTTCTGTGCCTGTTCTTGCTGTGTCTGTACAGAAAGGATGGCCTGTGTCAGCAAGCATCGAGGCAGACCTCAGCTCACACATCCACTCTTCTAGTGCACTGCCTCACAGGAGAGGAGCTGCACTGAACTCACCATACGGTTCAGGAGCTGCTGGAGTTTCTCCTTCTGCTCCACGTTTCGGCATTTTTTCAGCTGCTTCTGAACCATCTGAAGAAGAGAGCAGAAAGCTGCGTGACTGCCTGCCTGCCACCTCCACTGCAAAAAGCCTTTGCGGAAGCTGCCTCTGCCAAACAAAGTTCTTCTGGCCAAAGACAAGCACACAGCATCACCTCTTTCTCCTGCTTCTTGATGCTGTCCAGGAAGCTGTACGTCTTCATAAATATTTCAGGTTTATACTCTCCAGACAGGTCATCAAATCGAGGGTCTCTCTGGACCTGAAGGCAGGGAAGGCAAAGGTAAAAGCTGTGGCCAGGATTATGCTGTTAATAGCCTGCTTACTCTCCTTCCACGGATCAGGCCCTGCCATTTTTTATTTTTTTTTTACTAACGATATTATGCACCCACCATTGAAAACATCTGCAGTTGGCAAAGACCGAGTCCAATAATCAAGGTGGCAGTCCCTCACAAAGTCGTCATGCCTGTATCGAGTCTACCAAGCAACAGGTATTTCCATACACAAGGCTACCACCGAGGAGAAGCCAATTCAAGGAACAGCAGTGTGAGTGCTGCCTCTATACACCTGCAACTCCCAGACCAAGAGCTGGCTGAATGCGTGTTGTCAAGGTGATGGCTGTGGGAATTCAAACCTATCTAGATTTTCAGGTTACCTGGGTCAGGTCATACAAAAAGAAAAACAAAAAGAGATCTCTAACTGTGGAAATTAACATATTAAGATGAT